GTGCCATTTCAGTCCCATTTCCATGTTTGTTGATTGCCTTGCATGCCTCTTTAATGCTGTTGGAAGCATGTGTTCATGCTCCTTGTTTTGACCATTTGTGCATTGCGCCTTTGTTTTTGAGCATTTAGATGCCATCTAAGTGGTCCATTCGGGCCTTGACATTAATGTCCAAAACTCTTGTTTTTGGTCAATGGAGTTGCATTGCCATGTTTGGTTTTTTTTATAGTGTAGTCCAAATGCTTTCCATTGACTTGGCGTGAGCATTTGGGCCATTTGTTGATGCCTTGGCTTGATTTATTGCTTGGTTTTTTTGGCCACATTTTTGGCTTTTTATATTGATTTCTCTCTCAATGCTTTATTGTGAGCTAATTGTATCCATGATTCTCCCTCTTTCAGTGTTGCTTGAGATTGTTGCTTGATTTTGTGCTTAAGTGTTGGTCCTTATGTGATGTGTTGTGTGCATGCCCCATTTAAGCCTTCTTCTTATACTTTTTTTAGCCGTTGGCCACTGTTTTAGGTCTTTTATTTATGAGCTGCCTAATTCTATGTATAAGACCCATCTTTAGCATTAGTTTGCATTGTCATATAATCGTATGCTTGCATGCTTGCATAGTCATTGCTATGCATGTTGCTATCCTTAGCTTGTTTTGCCTAGTTGCATTGCATCTTTACTGCATTCTCTTTGTCCTTGACTTTGTGTGGTGATAGGATTGGGAGTTTTGTTTGATTGGTTTGCATAACATTTATAATTCAAAGTTGCATTGTTGGTTTCTTTGGTGCCATCATGCATGGTAAATGCTGTGATTTGAATGGTCCGGAGAATCGAGGCACATGCCCCTTTGAGTCATATCATGATTAAGGGACATGGTTGGTGCATAACATTGCCTTGAATTGGCTGCATGCCTTGTTTTGCCCTCTGTTGCTTGTGAGTTTGCAGGTCCTGCAGGCTTTCTTTGCCGACCGGCAGTGTAAGGTGCCGGCCGGCAATCTGTTCTCTGCCGACAGCTTCGTTTGTGCCGAGGCCACACACCAGTGCCGGTTGGTTGATTTCCACTCAGCCGGTGGTACTCCCAGTGTCCAGGGATGTAAATCCTGAGGTTTTTGACAGCCTCCAGAGGAGCAGAGGGAAGGAAAAACAGAGGCAGCTTGCGCATGCGGCGCGCTTCTCGAAGGCGTTTTACTTTTTTCTCTAGTCTATTTTAATTTGTTAATTAAATTAGGCGATTTTGTAATATTAATTTAGCTTGCCGTAGTTAATTAATTGTAATATTTATTTCGGTCCCTCCGAGCGAGGGCAAATTTGTAATAAGTGTGCGTGGGGTAGGTGTTGTATTTCTTCCAACCTCACTTTCTTTTCTTCCCTGTTTATTACCTGCTACGATGGTAGATTTGGCACGTTTAGTTTAGCATACCTTCATGCTATGGCATGCGTGGAATCCATGCCATTTGTATACTACTTAGGCTCGGTACATTCATGGCTAACTTGCATTTTGTACTCAAATTCTAAACATGAATATTGTGTGATAGGTTGTGCATTTCTCAACATGCCATGTTTAGGATAAGCCGAGACCTATTCTAGGGCAACATTTGTGCGATGCATTAGGCACTTAACATGGACTTGGATCTGCATGTTTGCTAAACAAGTTCTTTGTTTTAGGCATGGAGTACTATTGTCAAGTATTTTAATGCTTTTAGCATATCGCAGAGTGTGAATGTTGCCATGACAGCTTGCTTACATGTGGCTAGATGCTATGTGGTTAAAATGTTTTTGAAGCCTGTGGGTGATGGTTGGATTTTTTGAGTTGCCGAAAAAAATCGTTGAAATCCGTTATTTTAGCCCTATTGCGACTTAGCAAATCCCAAAGCATTTTTCAAACCGATACGGATATGCATGTTTTCCAAATTAGGCCAATCTAGTCTATACTTGCTTTGTGTGACGCATAAACATAGTATTCTAGGGCTAATAACGGAGATAAGAACACGTAAGTTTTCAAAAAACGGCGGATCATCACAGGTTAGTAGAGGCCGGTCTTCGACCGGCGAAAGGCGAGTGACTCATAGCTGACCTCCCCGATCGCTACCAAAGCTCCCGAGCCGAGACAAACTCCGTGATGACGCGATGTGGCTATCGGCACCGAGTCAGGTTTCAAATTTCCCCCCATTTAAATATTTAGGTTGGCGACTCTGTATCTGGCAAAGCAGTCCATGTTTGGCACTACTTTTTCAAAAATCTGTTTCTCAAAACGATTTGCCAGATTTGGACTCTTTGGTTCAGATTAAGAACCGTGACACAAGTCGAGTCCGAACTGTGGTAACCCTAAATGAACAGAACGGGACTAACCCTCCCGGGGCGTTCGGGGGACGTCCACAGTTGGACATCCATAATTTGCAGAATCTCATTATGATTTATAAGGTGAAATATCTCTCTTATTTATTTATTTTATGTGAATTTTGATTAGAAAAGTTTGGATAAATTTCTTTCTTGTAATCTTCCCGAAAGCCCTTATAGGTTTTTATACCATTCAATGAATGCAAAGATTTATACCAAAGTTACATGCTTTAGTTATCTTACCTCAAATATGGAATTCTCTACATTGTTATATATTTGTGGCCTTGTGTGATGACGTAATTGTGTGGATTGATTTGATGGCTCCTTTTTATGGAATTAGTTTTCATGGGCACTGCTTAGTTTCGGAGCATTTTAGGTGTATAGTCGTTATATGAACTTGTGATTTTGCCTAAATTTTTCGTTTATTTATTTTGAATGCACCTTTGCATCTGATTGTTATTCTGATGCTGGTGCTGGTGTTGCTGCTCCCGCTCCTATTGCTGTTATTTCTTTTATCACATTCATCCAACACATTGTTCCTGTTCTTTAAATTTGTCGGTTGGTTTGAATTTTGTATGAACCCTCAAAACAAAACATGTTGGCAAGCCTATTTTTTTTAATCGATTTCTGACTCCTACAGTGTACTGTTGGTGCAGCATGTTGGCTGCCACAACCTAATGCAGTTCCCATGCCATCTAGATACTTACCCAATTTTTGTTCTCATTTGCATCCTATTCTTGTTTCTCAGTTTTCTCTCATACCTTATGAAACAATACCCAAACAAATAAAATAGACAATCTAAATCATCTAGCACATACGAAAATGATTTAAACTGTTATTTCAAAATCAATATATCAACACAATAGATTTTTACGTAGAAAAACCACAATTGGATCACCTCCAATTGTGATTAAAAAACCACGAGCTAAACTCCACTAATCAATCAACTATGAAAGTAAGAAAGAATACAAATTAACCATATAAATTACCCAAGCTCTATCAATCTGTCTTCAACAATTTTTTAATTTGTAGTATTGTTATTTCATATTTAAAGACTAATACTAACTAGTGCCTGGAGCAATGCTTAGTAAAAAATATCTTAAAAATAAGTGAAAAAAGTAAAAATATATTAGATGTAATGAAAAGTGTTTTGAATTCAATAAAAATTATCTTCTTTTTCTTTTTTTGTCTTATTCTTTGAATCGTAGAATTTTTTTTAAAGAAATCTTTTTTTTTTTTTTCAATCTTCTATCAGTTTTTGGCATACTCGCTCGAGCGAAGGAAGCTACGCTTGAGCGAGACCTCTGTTTTAGCAAAAATTTGGCTAAGTGTTTCGAGTACATTTTTGCATCCTCATTTCATCCTAGACATTCCTAGGCCATGATTAAGACTTCATAATGAGGTTAAAGGCTAGAAACACACTAAGAACAAATGAGATAAGTTATGTGCAATCTGAGTGTGTGTTTTAATGCATGAATCTGCTATGTTATGTAGGTCACGCGCCTCAAGTCAGCTGAATTGCCCACTTTACCGTCTACTTGGAGCTACTGGTTATCTGTGAGTAATAACTTAGTAAAGCTATATTCAAAGTTATGTATTTCCTATATGCGATATAAGATCTGTTGAAAGAAATGCCATGTTTTATACTATGAATGATTGTCCGACAATAACAAGCCTTTATGATGCTAAGCTTTGATTCAAGTATGCCGCGAGTGACATTATGCTATGATTTAAGTATGTTGCAAGTGATATATGCCACGATTCAAGTATGTTATAAGTGACATAATGTTATGATCCAAGTATGCTATGAATTCCCGGACCAGAGGTTCCTTATGGAACTGACAAGCTATCTGTACCCGGCTGGAGGTTCCTAAATGGAACTGACAAGTTTACAAGTTCCCAGTCCGGAGGTCCCTATAAGGGACTGACAAGTTATCCTTACCCGGCCGGAGGTTCTTTTATAGAGCTGACAAGTACGATTTGAGACACTCTGTGTGCAATCTATTAGCACTAATGAATGTAAACTTTTATTTCAGCCACAAGTATGGGACATCATTCATATGCCCCTTTACTTAGTTATTAATTATTCGCTGGGCATTCGCTCACTAGTTATTTATATGTATGTAGGTGAGCAGATTCGTGATCAGGCTTAAGGTGATGCCTGGAGTATTTTTGTGATAGTCAGCCACCCTTTACGCCTCACGAGGAGGTTCCATATCATGTCATGTTCTGTGGCTATGTTAATATGAATGTATAAGACTGCTCCTTTTGTTTTATGAGCGAGTTCTCTTTTGTATGTACATGATAATGATGTGTAAATGTTGTATCTATGACGTCGCTTGTATATAAAGTTGAAGAGTTCCTGTTTCATGTATGTCTTCACAGCTCAATAGACTTCATATATTTTATATATTTGCTTCTGCAGCCCCTAGCTATATGTTAATCAGTCAAGAGGCCTTCGGTAATCCAAGGATTACTGGCTGCTCTCCGAACTTTCACCCCTTGAACACCATTACAATAGTCCAAACATGCCTTTTTTTTAAAAAAATTTTATTTTTATTCTGATGATAAATAGTTTAGAATTAAAATCACAATACATGTCACAATGAAAACAAGTTCAGAATTAAAATCATGTATATTAGGCTTTATGAGTATCTTATGAATACTCGAGATGCTAAATGCATCAAACATTGACACCTTTCTCATAGCCATTGACATAGTTCACAGGTTATTTTATTTTATTTTTCTTTTTAATTATATTTTGGGCAAATGGTTGTGATTTGAGAACATATTAGGCTGTTTTGTGCAATTGGGTCAAATGGGTTTTTATATTTATAGATGTTTCTTTCACTTTTGTGAAGAGATCAATGCCTTTAGTTTTTTGGAATTAGATTCATATTATCGGTAATTGCAAATTTGTAATACATTGCTTTGGAATTTTTGCTCCTACGCACAAGCCTATTGCCTTGTACATCAAACACCACTGTAGAGCTATGTACAAAAAAGGCGAATGCCCTCTCCTTCTTGTAGTTTTCGATTCATGTAAAGGGTAATCATTTTAAATTTTTTGAAAAAAAATTCTTGAACTACTACTGTGTTACCAAATTTTTATACGGTAATTCATATTGAATAAATTTTGTTGTTATTTGTTTGTAATGCAGTTTTACTGTAGAGGCTGATGGGCCTACAAAGGATATGACATTAATCACAAATTATACTGGTGATATGGATTACATTACAAATCGGGAACAAGATGATTGTAATAGCATGATGACCCTTCTTCTAGCAAAGGACCCATCTAACAACCTTCTTATCTGTCTTGATAAACGTGGAAACATTGCTCGCTTTATTAATGGCATTAACAATCATACTCCGTATGCTCGTGTATCCTCTCTCATGCTGTCTCGATTCTAGACTCAAAAAATGCTTCCTTGCTTTTATTTTGATGGTAACTTTATCTATTTCATCGACTCTGAAGTATGTACTCCATTTCTTCCAATGAAGCCACATAGCAAAATTCTTTGTTTTTATCGACATCAAAATAAATTTAAAAATTGAGAATATTAAACTTGTTGTTCTTGAAACCTGTCCAATTTTGTGTAGGGAGGGTAAGAAGAAGCAGAATCTTAAGTTTGCGAGGTATAGTGTAAATGGTGAATGTCAGGTCATTTTGGTTGCTACTTGTGATATTGCCAAGGGGGAGAGGCTATATTATTATGACTATAATGGATATGAGCATGAATACCCAACCCATCATTTTGTCTAAGATCTACATAGATATTCGTCTAACGAGTTTGCTTAATTGTTATGCAATTTCAGATTCTGATAGATCCTTCTGATGTATACACATTTTTTTTTACTCTTTTTTGTCGCAGCTTAAACATTTTTGTTGCAGAGTGTCCACATTTTTTCCCAGTTTTCTAATTGTATCCTCAGCCCATCAATTGTAATTTATCATGTAGCGTTGGCCAAGTATGTGCTGTAAGAAAAATAGTGCAGGCGAGGGAACTTTCTTTGGAATTTAACATATGAAGGGTTTTAAATGATTACAAATTTAAGTTACATGGCATTGTCTTTATGTACTATAGTTTCAATGAAATGCATTACTTTTATCTATGGTTTCCTTTAAGTAGATCCCAAGATTACTATGATGGACTATTGGAGGGCTTTTCCTCCAACATTTGTTTCTCTTTACTTATCTTTATTTGAGTTAGATGATATTATCTTTATGTGCTAAAGGTTTCAATGGAAGACACTACTTTTATTAAATGACTGCCTTAATGTAGATCCTAAGATAAACTCTGATAGGCTGTTGTATGTTATTATTATTATTAATTTTTGCTCCCTCTAAAACATATTTCTCTATCTGTTGTTTCCGTTTTGGTTTCTCCTCTCTATAAACATTTCATTATTATTTTTTTAAAATGCTAACCGTCCTCAAGAAAGCTCGAAGACAAGAAAATAAAGTAAAATACAAATAAATTCTTTCTGGCTGCCTATTTCTATATTATTAGGGAACTGTTGCTGGAATACCAAGGACACTGTTTGAACATTCATATTGGACCAGTATCTTCATGACTGGGTCTTTCAAATTTGGATATAGTGCCTTGCTGCAGGGAACTTTGTGAATGTGTAATCGTCATCCATCACTTCATGTTGGACATCCACAATTTGCAGAATCTCATTATGATTTATAAGGTGAAATCTCTCTCTTATTTATTTATTTTATGTGAATTTTGATTAGAAAAGTTTTGGATAAATTTCTTTTTTGTAATCTTCCCGAAAGCCCTTATAGGTTTTTATACCATTCAATGAATGCAAAGATTCATACCCAGGTTACATGCTTTAGCTATCTTACCTCAAATATGGAATTCTCAACGTTGTTATATATTTGTGGCCTTGTGTGATGACGTAATTGTGTGGATTGATTTTATGGCTCCTCTTTTGTGGAATTAGTTTTAGATCCATGGGCACTGCTTAGTTTCGGAGCATTTTAGGTGTATAGTCATTATATGAACTTGTGATTTTGCCTAAATTTTTCGTTTATTGATTTTGAATGCACCTTTGCATCTGATTGTTATTCTGATGCTGGTGCTAGTGTTGGTTCTGGTGTTGTTGCTCCTGCTCCTACTCCTATTGCTATTATTTCTTTTATCACATTCATCCAACACATTGTTCTTGTTCTTTAAATTTGTCGGTTGCTTTGAATTTTGTATGAACCCTCAAAATAAAACATGTTGGGAAGCCTATTTTTTTTAATTGATTTCTAACTCCTACAGTGGACTGTTGGTGCAGCATGTTGGCTGCCACAACCTAATGCAGTTCCCATGCCATCTAGATACTTACCCAATTCTTGTTCTCATTCGCATCCTATTCTTGTTTCTCACTTTTCTCTCATACCTTATGAAACAATACCCAAACAAATAAAATAGACAATCTAAATCATCTAGTACATACGAAAGTGATTTAAACTGTTATTTCAAAATCAATATATCAACACAATAGATTTTTACGTAGAAAAATCACAATTGGAACACCTCCAATTGTGATTAAAAAACCACGATCTAAACGCTACTAATCAATCTATTATGAAAGTAAGAAAGAATACAAATTAACCAAATAAATTACCCAAACTCTATCAATCCGTCTTCAATAATCTGTATTTCTTTCACAGCAACCTTCGTCTCAGAATTGATCAGATTGATGTTAAATCCACAGCATCTATGTCGAATCAACGACTGCGCACAGTTTCAAACTCCTTCGAATACTCCACACTTGATTCTCTGGATTTCACCGAAGAAGAACACTCTTGAAGTAGAACATTCAAACATTAGAACTCTTTAATGTGTGCTTGTTAAACCATGTGAGTTTAATACTTAATCAAGCATCAAAGAAAACTAACAAAATAGTCCTAGAAAAAACCCTAGAACCATCAAAGAAGATCTAGAAGTCGTGCCCCAGATTTGGAGCAAATTACAGTTTTATAGCTGCTAAATTCGCAATCTCCACTCAGGCGCTGTAGACACCCCATTTTTGATGGCCCTTACGACTTGGACATCAGCGAGAATGCCGCAGCTTTGAACCTATCAAACCTTGCACCCCTGTTGCCTTGTTTCTAGACCAAACCTTGGATTTTCAAGCTTGTAACCCCGGTGACCTGCCGGCCACTGCTTTGGGCTGCCGGCCATCACTCTTGGTTGTCGGTCACTAATCTGGCCTTCCGGCCACCAGTGATGGCCTGCCAGCCACCAATGTCTTTTGTAGATATTTTGTGACAGCTATGCCAGCTGTTTGCACAGATGTATGCATATGCTCCCACATGTATGGTTAGATGTTTGTGAGGGACATTCATGTTTTCTATATATAGATGACCTCCCTCTCATATTTTGGGTTTAGAAAAATTTTAGAGCAAAATTTTCTCTCTCTCTACAATTCTCTCTATCTCTTGCAAATTTCTTAACCCTTGCTTACATATCCTTCACCTTTGCCTATACACTCTTAACCAAACCTCTCCATCTTTGAGTTGAGCTATCTTTGAGCCTTGTTTGAGCTTTTAAGGGTGTGTTTGCCTTGATTTATTGCTTGGAATTGGTTCTTCTTTTCAAGAGGTATAAGGCTTTGCCTCTTTACTTGTTGTATTCACTCTTTTTCTTGCTATTTTCCAACTATTTTTGGGCTGTAAAAACACTGTATTTTTGGGCTAAAACTTGAGTTTTAAGGCCAATAAAGGTTGAGGGGTGGTTTACCATTCTTTACACCTTTTTCTCAAGGCCTTTTCCCTTGTGTTTTCCACCTTTGCACTATCTTTTTTTGAGCTTTTAAACACTGATTTTCAAAGTTATTTTAGTGGCTAAAATCATGTTTTGAAATTCAAAATTTGAGGGGTTAGCCTCCATTCCTTGTGTTTTGCTTACTAGCCTATTATGATCCATGTTTTAGCTTATTAATCCAGGCATTTTTGTCTTAATTTTAGCATGTTTTAGGATTGTTTTTAAACTATTTTAGGACTGTCTTAAGTGTTTGCTGCATTTGAGCTTTGTTTTACATGCATATAGTGTAATTGCCCTCATAAGCTTGGTGTTTTAGGCCTTAGACACCATCTTATTTGAGTAGATAGTGTTTATTTATGGCTTTCCATACTTGTGATCACTCTTAATCACCTCTGCAACCTCCCTCATTTCTTGGCTTTTGTTTCGCTTTGAAAGTGGTTTTCAAACTGCTTGTTTGTTTAAGCATGAGATTGAGATGTCATGCTTAATGGTTTAATCCCTTTAGAGATTTAATCCCTTTGGGGGTTTATTACCAATGGTATGATGTCTCTTTCATGCCCAAAGTAACTTTTGGTTTGAGCCATCTTTCCATTAGAGGACTTAAATTCACCTTTGGACTTAATTGCCTGAAGAATGGTTGGTAATCTAAAATGAAGTAATAAAATTGGTGATTAAAAGGTACAAGATAATAACTTGTTTAGGTTCAATCGATGTTAATTGAATTCTTGAGTCTTGAATCGTTTCATACTCATTAGTGAAGAAAACGGTTCAAGATTCATTGTCAGCTACTTCCCTTGATCTTTCATGATAGGGAGGTGGTTTTGAGAGTCTCATTTTGTTGCATTTATTAAAATTGCACACTTCTGTTCATAGGCCATCATGCAATGAAATTGCAAAGATTCATGGTTTGTGAACCAAGTTTACTACTCCTTTGAGCTATTCAAATGATAAGGAGGGGTAAATTGTGCAAACAAACCCTTGAAAATACTCTATCCCTACTCTATTTGTACTCTATTACAGCAAGGAAGCCCAGTCATCAGTGGCTGGCAGGCCCTTATTGCCGGCCATCTTTTGTGACCGGCAGGCCATCATCAGTGGACGACAGGCCCCTTGCCAGCCACCAGTGCAGAATCTAGCAGTGTACTCCCCCAGCAGAACAGAGTTGGTCTGGAGGTGAAAATTAGTGCAAGTGTTCTACTGTGCAACAGAGGCTTTCAGCAGCAAAAACAGTGGCTTTTTTGGGAGGAAACCGCATTCATGCATAAGCCTTTCATCGATCCTCGGGAGCCATGTTGTATATATTAGTGTTGTGCTTAAAATAATGTTTTTGTACTTAATTAGTTAGAATAGCTAATTTGTCTCATGTTGTAATTATTTTAATTAGCTAGATTAGTTAATTAATTAGTTCATTTGTTTTTTAGTTAAGTAGTTTAGCTATTTATTCATTTCATTTTGTAATAGTTAATTAATTAGTTTATCTTTAATTAGTTAGCTAGTTAGTTCATTAGGACTCTCCTTCATGAGAGTGCAATGTTGTAATAACGTGTATGTCTTCCAACCCCCCATCTTTCTCCCTTTTACTTACTAGCTTAAGATGGTTAGTTTAGGGCATCATGTTTTGTTTAGCGTACTTCATGTTTGCATCCACTTGTATTGCATACACCGAGGCTCGGTTCATCATTTTCACTTGTATTGTTAGTTTAAAATCTTCTTTGAATACGTGCTTAGACCGCATACTATTTAATTGATTCGTATGCCATATTACTAGCCAAGCCTAGTAATTGCATATCGCATGTGTTGCATTAGTCATGTTGCCTAGTTAGGATTATGCATCTTTCTAACTTTATCATCTTTTTGGCTTAGAGTACGAGGTAAGCCTTTACTCGCTTTAGCATATCGCATGTGTATGATTGTCCCCATATTTAGCATGCTTGCCATAAGGCTAATTGCTTAAGTGCAATAATTTCTTGAATGCCTGTGGATGAAGGCTAATTGC